TACAGACTCTACCCCATCACCTCACATAACCAACTGTGACCACCTAAAATTATTTAGTTCAACAAGCATTTACTGAATGTTAACTTTATAAGCATGGCACGGTGCTCAACCTCTTGTGGAATACAAAGATGAAAAATGTGCAGTACTCATCCTGATAGTAGGAGTACTATCAGGGAAAAAAAATGGAAATTTATATTTAAATTTATATACTGAAATGTTCTATATTTATCTGTGCCCCAAGATACCCATCCTTTTGGTTCTTACAATGTGCCCTTCCTTACCTCACCCTGACTTTCCCATGTTTAACTATCCTGCATATTTAATTGTACTCTCATAGCTAATTATGCTGCTTTATCTAACAATATCCCCGTACCTAACTACATGCCCATATCTAACTACTGTCACAGCTAACCTGCTACAACAAACACTTTTCCGATGCCCAGAACAGCCTCTCTCATGTGACCTGGAACCTGATCTTTTCCATCTCCCTACAATCCCAAGTATTCTATAATCTCCAAAGTCTCTCCATATGATACCTAATTAAAACTAAACATAAACCTGGACCCATCAATCATAGCACACTTATTCCTAATTCAATTAAATTCTACTTAATAGGCATTACTACGCATAGACTATATGCAAGGTGATACTAAGTTACAAAATAGAAGGCACACATCAAAAATGATGATATTTTTAAAAATACATGAACACTGTTCATATTTTCTGCGAAAAGCCAAAGGTTTGCCCCAACTTTAAGCCCAGATCCTACCAATCTCAGTGTTAATAGATAACCAAACATATGCCATTGGTGTTTGATGTTTGCATTTACTTATTACTTTTTTCTCCATAATACTCACAGAGACATAAACAAACCAGAACCCTGCAACTTTCTATACAACTGAAATTCCAGGTAAAGTTCCCCATAAGTTATAGTAAACAAATTCTCCTGTGGTTCTCCACGCTGCCCCCTCGTGGACATCCATTGTAAATGAACTGCAGATTTTTCAGAGAAGGATCTGACATTGGTAGAAAGCTGTCACTCAACAGAGGGAAAGTGGTTGCAGCTACAATACCTGTGCAGACTTAGATCTTAAAGGGCCATCAGCTATATTCAAATGGAAGGTTTAAACTGGCTCTGGGCTACACTCAACCTGTTAGGGCACTTCTAAGTTGAGCTATAAGTCCTCTCTTCTCTTGGCTAGCAGGCACCACGTAATGATCATTTGACTATTTCATTTGACCTTGTTAAGCATTGCTACTTGATTTTATTAGCCTGAAATTCATGGAAAAGTGCATAGGACATTACATATATTTCTTAACTTATGTAAAACAGTAATCTAAATAAATAATCTAAATAAAAGAGTTTTTGTTTACAAATTTTCTTATTTATTTTGCTGCTTATCTACTTAAATAAACCTGTCTTGGAAAGAGCTCAATGACATAAATTAAAAGGTGGGAGTGCAATTCCCCAAAGGGAGAACTGTCTTTGGTGAACATCCCCTCTGATAAATGGGCTCTAAGAGGGAGAGAAGAGAACTATATTGTTCTGCCTAGTAGTGGAGGCGAAGTAGAAGTTGGTGTGAAGAGCAGGGAATGGGGAGAAGCTGGAACAAAGATGAAACAGGAATGAGGGAGGTCGGTGTCAGCAGAGCATCCATAATGGGCTGTGTCTGAAGGAAGGTCAACTGCACATTTTTTAAAAAGTGGATAAAAAAGAACTCTTTTCTTGGAAGCAGTCTGTTCTGTTAAAATTAACTTTCCACTGTAGGAGCCCTCACTTCTGAGAAATTATCGAAATGTTGTTACTGTGCCCTCCTAGTAAATTTACAGGTAAAACTATTTGTATGTAAAATTGAGCATCCTATGCAAGAAGTAGACACTGAATACTCAAGTGGTAGATACAAAAATTATGTATGAGTATGAGCAATTCATTTAAATGTGGAGGGAACTTCTGTTTAGAAGAAAAGAATATTTTTCTGCAAAAAGAATTTGAAGTGTTGTGATTCATACAGTCTTAAAAGTCAGTTGATACCAAACTGATGTTCAAAGATCCCATGTAACAGCCTCCAAAATGGTTATCTATTTGGAAAGGCACACTCCAAACAAACAATTAAAAATTGCTTGATGAAATGGCAAATTTTGTTACATATATTTTTGTCACATAAAAAAAGAAGAAAGTAAGGATCTCCCTGGTGAAGCTGCTCAAATGGCCACGCTTATAATGCCTGGTTTCCCCTTTGGCTCCTTTCCTATTATTAATAACTAGCTAATTACAACGGTATCACCACCATTTGGAACCTGGTCTCTCACTCCCATGGACAACCCAAAACTATTGACATCCAGTGGAAACTCATCCTGTTTCTCCCAAATAACCTTTATGTATAAGCAGCTAACTCTTTCACATATTACCCTCTATCTAAGTTAAGTAACAAGACCATTTTAATTTTAATAGTTTTTTTACCCGGGGAATTTCCAAACGTACTCAAAGGTAGAGAGAATAGTAGAATCAACCATATAATGTATGATAGATGTCACGCTGCTTAAACGACCATTACCATGTTTCCACTCTCAGTTCTCTTGCTCCCTTCCTCTCCCCGACTTGTTTTTTAAACTGAAGTATTTGAAAGCAAAGCCCAATATTTCTTCCCTGATGGGTAAGGAATTTTTATAAAAAGTAACTGCCATGCTATTATCACATCTAACAAAATGACCAGTAATTTTTAAATGTTATCTACTCATATGCAACCCATATTTAAATTCCTCGATCGTTTCTCAAACGATTTTTTGTTATAAAAAGCGAGTAAGTGGTAGAAGCTGGGTTTACAACACAGGTAGCAGACTCTAAAATCTATTACTTATGGAAAGGGAGAGTCTACCAATAGCTCTATAGAAATGGACAGAGAAAGCCAAAGTAAGCAGGGGGGCTTAATAAGCAGAAGTGTGGCTTATGGCAGAAGTGTGGCTGTATGCTGAAGGCCAAAATAAGCATGCAAGGAGCAGTCAGCAGAAAGGCTTGTTAGTAACCTCAGCAAAATGGTCTCGATCAGAAGGGGTCTTCAAGGTCTTTCCTTGTAGGGCACTGACAACTTCAAGGAGAGCAAATTTGGGGGCTACAGATGGAAACAGGTCAGAGAGCCTTGCTAGATGTGGGGAGAAGTCCCCCAGGAATGCAGTGTTGACAGCAACAGCATTAGGACTTGGCAGGTCCCCACAATCTGACTCCCACTAGGGCAGAGTGCACACATGCTTCTCACTCTACGTGGTGGGCAAAAACTGCCACCAACCAACAGAGAGCCTTGGTTATCAGACAAACCATAACTAGCCTTGTCCACAAGACAAGATTCAAACTATGCATACCTATCTTAAGGCAAGAGCTAGATAATCACTAGCTTTTGATCTAACACACCTTTTTTGAAAATGGGTTTGAATCTTTCTGCTAGTTGATCTTATTCAGGCAGCTACTTCAGTGAAGTGAAACTCTTGTAAACAAGGAAGAAACACTAAGAGCAAAAACAAAAGTTCAAGATGAAGCTTTGCAGCCAAGTCTTGGAATCTCAAGTAGGCACTTGTGTCCAGACACAAGGTGACACTTTTTTGTGCCAAGTCCCTGGATAGTGTTAAAAGTAAATGGGGCCAAAACAGTTATAGGATATAGTCATGAAAACGCACAGTGAGTGACAGCTTTGGATCCACCAGTGCATTTGCCCTCGGAATGCTCCCAGCCAAAAACTGAACACAGCCAAGTTGTTAACTCAGGCCTATTCCTGTGAGCCATGGGGCCAACCAATGGGTGACTGGCTCAAGGACTTCCCATCTGCCCGGTTGACCCTTTCCTGGACTGTGTCCTGGTCTGAAATTCTTCCTTCACAGTTGTCAGAACTTCATTACAGCCGTAATCAGGGGAAGCCCTGTGAGGCAGTGGAGGGAAAATCTGTCTAATAAGCAATCTGTAGGCAGTGCAACCTGTGTTCACGCTGGAAAGAAAAATAGCCCTAAGTGAGAATATATACAGATGGCCCACGGCCATGTGGTTTAGCCAGGCACCTAAAAGGAAAAGGACAGAACAGTTGGAAACGAGGAGGCCTGGGCCAGAAGCATGTGGACTAAACACTGAGGAGTGGGCACAAAGTACTGTTTTTGTCTCACACATTCATGCCCCCAGAAGAGGCACAGAACACCAAGGAGACCAGATGACTCAGTCGGTTGGTGCTCCCCAGCCCCCATCGGCTGCTACCACAGAACTGGCCTATGGGCACAAGAGTGAAGGAAAACTGCAAACAGGCCCAACATCATGGGCTCCCGCTTAAGCAAAGCCTATGGAGTTGGAGCTGCCTCTAAATGTGCACCCTGTCTACGCAGAGACCAACGCTGAGCCCCTGTTCCTTAAGGAAAGTGACAGGCTGCTTGACGCCAAGGCCCCAAGTGGGCAGTTTATAGGTTCACTGCTTCCCAGCTGTGTCACAATGGATCTGGGTCCTTTAGTTTTTCCTTTGCCGGCTGACACTGAGCTTTGTCAGGAGAGGGCGATGGAGAGACACTGTAGGAGGTCAAGGCTTTCCTCTCCAGACTCATCTGCAGGCCTTGGTGGTGGTGCAGGGCAGCCAGCAGCAGCAGCGTCCCTGGCACTTCCTCAGGTAGTTGTGTAGCAGAGCCTCTGATGAGACACCTCCCGTGAAGTTTCCCCTGGCACCCAAGATGGTGGATTATCTCGGGCAAGTTCCAGAGGGCGGATTTCCAGCAAGTTCCACCAGCAGAACACCACAGTGACTGTCCAGCCATCAGGTGGGCCAGCCCGTGCCCTCCCAACAAGGTTTGGATGTCAGCTGGGAGTTGGGGTGGGGGGAGTAGGGTTCTTCATCTCAGTCCCAGTAGCTTAGTACCTGTTCCTGGTAACTGCTATTTCCATGTTCTTTAAAGTCCTCTTTATTTCCCACTAGCCAATCTTTTGCATTAAGAAGGTTTATAGAAATTAGATTTCATGAAGACAAACCACACATTGATAGTTACCATAAAGCTTTATTGGTTCCAAAGTGTTTGCCAAGTAAAATTAGTCACTATATAACTCCAGTTGTTGAATCACAAAGGTGCCGCAATTTAGATTTATTACAAGTAAACCTTTTAGGAGATCATGATATCTCTATTATTAATTAGAAAGTATTCCACTCTTCAAATACCTTTCTTAGAATTCAAAGTATAATCATAAAGTATGCTGATTTCCATTCTTAATTTTTTAAAAAATACAGGTTAAATGGTATTAGTTGGGACTTAAAAATGCATTTATTTCAGGAATAGTTTTGCATAGACAAAATTGAAAACTTTAAAAAAAAACAAAGTGATTTTTCTATACAAATTACATGCTCCTATAAAGTACAAAAATGCATTCTTAAGATGCTAAGGCATTTTGGGACAAAAGACACCTCCTTCTTTCTTTAGTTTAGAGATTGGCTTTAAGCTTTAAAGACTCTTTCATCCTTTTGACAACAGAAAGGTCCCCTGCTCCCTCCGGCCAGTTGTCATGATCTGTTAAGTAAGTGGAAAACCTCGTGTCACTTGCAAATCTATTAAACTTATTAGTCCTCCCAGTTTCCACCAAACCCTCCTGTTATTTTCCCTGGTTCACCCCTTTTCTCGGAAAGAAAAAAGAAATTATTAGGACAAGTAGCACAGGTTTTGAGAAAATCCTGGGTTTGAGTCCCAGCTCTTCCACTTACTAGCTTTTCAGAATTGGGAAAAATTATTCTTTCAGAGCCTCGGTTTTCTCATCTATTACAGGGGGTAACCACGTCTATCTTTTCAAGTTGTGAGAATTAAATGTGACACCCTATGTACAGCACTTGGCATACTGTAGACATTCAATAAATATTATTTCCTTAATAATGAAGATTTTAAAACAACGTGCTTACTTTGTACCAGGCACATCTAGTTGCCTCCCCAGCACCCAGTCCCTCATCTCCTCTTTCCAATAGCCTGTTTACACTTACAATTCCATCAGATTCTGCGGAAGTGACCACACTTAGACCACTGACTGATGACTGACTGATGTAAGTCAACCAATGCACTCCATTCCCTTGACCGTTGTTATTCATTGGGGATAGTCATTTGCATAAACTGGTCCAAAGCAGCGTAGATCTCAGAATTTTGTTAGAAATGTTGAAAGAAAGTCATTCCCTTCCCCGCTCTCTCTCTGTCCAGATGAATGTGAAAAAAGAAGCATGAAGCTATAAGAGCAGCAGGCAGCCATCCTGCAACCAGGAGAGTTAGCCTTAAAGCCAACATCATAGAAGCAAAAACATAAATAAGGAAAACAAAATGCCCTTGGTGAGATCACTGAGCTGCTGAGTCACATCTCACCTGTTTCTCAGTTATTCAAGGCAACAAATTCTTTTATGGCTCAAGCCAGCGTGAGTTGCACCTGAAAGCATCCTATCTGACCCAGGGCTTTAAATGTACATTATCTAACTTGATCCTCCCAACAGCTTACAAAATTAATAAGTGAACCCACCTGATGGAAATGAAAGTGGAGGCTTACAGAAATTAATTTTCCCAAGGTCATACAGCTAGTAAGGGTATAGCCAGGTTTCCATCACAGACATTCTTACCAGGGCTGGCAACCTTAAAGAAAACACTACAAGGAGAGGCTAAGTATTCCTACTCATAATTTTGGGGGAGTATATTCTTTAAAAATAGATGTGACTGCTTTCCTTAAACACCTTAAAAGAATGGCTCAGCCCGTGTGGCTCAGTGGTTGAGCGTGGACCTATGAACCAGGAGGTCACAGTTCGATTCCCAGTCACGGCACATGCCTGGGGTTTCAGGCTCAATTCCCATAAGGGGCATGCAGGATACAGCTGATCAGTGATTCTCTCTCATCATTGATATTTCTTTCTCTCTCTCCCTCTCCCTTCCTCCCTGAAATCAATAAAAAATACTAAAACCCTAAATAATATTTTTGTAATGATAAAAAACAGTGCTAGAATTACAAAAGAAAATCATGACACTGGAGGCCTGGAGAAGCAGTCACCTGGAGTTCTTTCCCTTTATAAAGGAAAAACAGTGCAGCTCACCTTAACAAATACTACTGACTCAACTCTGGTGAGGGAAGTGGAAAGATTCTCTTCCACTCTTGCTACGTTAAATACTATCAGAAAACAATACCCCATAACCATGTAGGCATTTCTGTGTACATAACTGAGACCCTTAAAACCAAAGTCCATTTCCATTGATGCTATTTGTAAAGAAATATATCTGGGGAGGGAAAATAATAAGTAATATTAAGTCCCGTACTAATCATTTATCAATGCAAAGGTCTTTACCCTTGATCAGACTGTTAGCACATGAAAAAGTAGGTTGAACCTGGGTCCCTGATATGAAACTCAAAGACAAATGCATTACATCAACCACATTTTAGTTTGCTAGTAGCCACTTAGTCAACTATCTTGAGCAACAGTGTGAATACATTTGAATTTTATATCTTTTTCTTTATTTTGGGAGTGATTAGCTTGACTATGCCATTTAATTTCTATAAATTTGTTTTGTCATTTGCAAAATTAGGATATTGGACTGATTTTTTTAGGAACTTTTCAATCCCAAAGTTCTCTGGTCCCGCTATGAGACACAGACACAGACACAGACACAGACACACAGACACACACACACATTTGTGTGTAATATCTACATTTGGTTGAGCCTTACAAAACTACTGTTTTATACATCAAAAATGAATACAGTAAATTCATATGGTTTCATTTAATATATATCCCAAAGATAGTGTAAAACACCATAACCCCTCTCCACCTAACATGTCTGATTCTTCTGCTCAGATATACAAGCCACTTACTGGAGGAATTAAGAGGAATTCGATCTAAAAAAATAATATGGCAACTTCTTGCCTTTTTTCTATCTCTTTCTTAAACATATATACTCATATTGAGAATATTTTTCAAGGTTCAAATACTACCAACTTACACACATACCAAAAAAAAAAACCTTTTAAAATATATATAAAGCTAAGTTCTATAAATAAATATATAGATAGATATTTTTGTGATGAGGAATATTTCCTTTAAAAATCATATCATGAATATAAACAAGTTGCACATTTTGATGTGCTACAGAGAAAACTCTCATCTCTTGAGTAACTACTTAAGACATTTTGAAAATATGAACACTCATTGCTTGACTGCTCACCTGGTACTTCAAACATGTGATTATACAGAGACTGGCCCCCATCTACATCCACCAACTGTCCGGTGATGAAGGAAGCCGCTGGAGATAGCAGAAAGCACACCAAGGGGGAAATCTGGAAATGGAAACATACACATGCTCACAGAAAAGCTGACGAATCTCCTCTTTGCCTGCTTCCCAATCCTGAGTAAACACATCTCAGAGCACACGACTACCACATGAATTCCAAGGTATATGTGCACCATAAGCTGGCAGTACATAGACAGCGGCCTCTTTTTATTGAGCATCATGAAAATCAGGTAAGAGATTACTTGATTAGCCAGACAGGACAGAGCCTTTGATGGCAGCCAATAAGCTATACAACGTGAAGAAGTCAAAGTAAACACAAGGCTCAATTTGGGCTCTTTTCCATTTCAAACAACTCAGCTCCTTCTACACCTTTCATTGCCCACCACAACCATACTTCTCATCGCAGCCACGTGCCTTTTATATCTGTGTCCCTGAAATAGTCAATGTGCCTGTGGATAATGACATGGCGTGCCTGTCGGTTTAGTCTATGGTCCTGCAGGCCAAAAGCCCAGCAACTCAGACTACAGGAGCTTTCTGCAAGAGGGACATCAGAATCCCAGAGCATCCCCTAAAAATTCAGCTAGATCACTGATGAGTTCAGCAACATCAACTCCCAAAACCAGAAAGAAAGAAAGAAATCACTGCACTGGATGTAAAGGAACTCTCAAGGGAGGCTGTTGGCACAGGCTGAGTTCCTCAAAGCGTGATCCTAAGCACTTGCACTGGAATGCTTAGGGATTCTTATTGAAACTCCAGATCCTAGACCCTATGTAAGAGCTTCTGCAATGTCAGCTCTGGGGTTGGGGCCCCAGAATCTACCATTTTATCAGGATCCCAAGCAGGGCGGGAATTTGGGTGAGGCTGATGAGGACTTTAGGGTGCAGCATTTAAGGAGGTGCTTACTCTTGGAGCGGACCCTATACTTGCACAACCCTGAGGGTGAGCATGTTCTTAAATTTTGTGTTCACAGCTTGCTTGCCTCACTCTAGTCCTGGTCCTGTACTTAGCACTGAGGCCATGTGGTTATGGTGAGTTGAGACTCTGAGATCCTGGAGGGCAGGCATAGCTTTTTCTCCATCCTTGTGTCCCCAGCAGCTACTATAGAACTGAACTGTCTAAAATGGAGGCCACTAGCCATGTGACACTACCAAAGCACTTTCCACATGGCTAGTCTGAATTGAGATGTGCTGTAAGTGTAAATCACACATGAGATTCTGAAGACTTATATGAAAAGAAGAATGTAAAAGATCTCATTAATTACTTTTATATTAATTATATGTTGAAATGATGATGTTTTAAATATATTGGATTAAATAAAATATATTGTCAAATCTAAGTTCACTTCTTTTTACCTTTTTTTAATGTGGCTACTAGGAAGCTTAAGATTACATATATGACTATTGTTATTTCTGTTGTTATATTTATTTTATCGATATTTTTGAGAGAGAGACAGAGGAAGAGAACGGGATAGAGAGCTAGAAATATTGATGAGAAAGAAACCTTCATTGCATACCCCTTACTGGGGATCGAGCCTGCAAACCAGGCATGTGCCCTGACCAGGAATCAAACTGTGACCTCTTGGTTCCTGGATCGATGCTCAGCAACTGAAGCACACCAGCCGAGCCCTATTTATTTTAGAATCAATACTTTATAAGTTCCCACATTATTGGGAGGGGGGAGAGAGATCTGAGCCATGGTAACATTAACCACCAGACTCAGTTTACCCTGTTTAATCAACCAATGACAACTTGCCTTGGGAACATGTTTTGTTAGTCAACCAATCAATGAAAGCTCCTCAATTCTAAAAGTCAGCCAGTTAGGAAGACTCTCTTCAATAAGCTCCTTTCTAAATCCAGCCAAAGAACAACCCTCTCATACATATAACTATGACCTTTGACAGTGTTTTGCATAAAATAAGCACTTAATAAATATATACAGAATGAAGAAATCTTTATGCATCTCTTCCCCCGAAAGGAGGGTATGTTGCATTACCTAGCTCCTAATCCAGTCTTTGCCCACCATTAAATAATACTGAATTGAATAGAAGCTATCTGCTAGGTAAAAGACATGTAATGATTCATGATTCCTGCTTTAATTTTTACCTGGAGCTCAACATGGAGTTAAATTGAGCTAATGAAATTCTGATAATTACCAAATTAACTAGGCATTATTGCTATATCTTCAGATGATGTCTTCTTAACTTTCATTTTAATGGAATCCATTTGATGGATGGACTTGAAGTACTAAGCCATTCACCATAGTTTTATCAATCAGTAAACACTAATAGAGACTAGCAACTTGCATCAACTTTATGTGGCCAACACCTCTTTTAGCTCAGTTACCTGTTTATGTTCAGCTCTGTTTATCAAAGATCACATCAGGAAAGCTTTAAATAAGCTTGGATTAGAATGTCAGTACCATGACCTCCACATGGCCTTAAGTTGATTACTGAACCCCATTGGCCCTTAGTTGCTTAATTTGTAAAAATGAGTGTTCAGGATCTCACAAGCCAATTGAAGGTCTGCCATGTGCTACATTCCCTTTCTGAGAGATATTGACAGACACCAGGAGAGGTCAAAGCAGTTCCTTTTGAAACTATAGCTACATTCTGACCCCCTGACTACCCCAGGGACCGTCAATTAAAGGAAGGCAACTCAGTGTTAAGCAGTTGGGCCAATGGCCTTGTGTAAAAATTCCGCCCAAAATGGAACATTGATGATTAACTGGAGCAAACAGAGTATCTTGGAAACATGAGCTAGGCATGCTAAGACACAATCAAGCAGAAGCCAAAAGTCTCACCTTATTCTGAAGCATCTCACGATAGCTACCATCATCTCTGCTTCCCTTCACAACCAAACCTTTTGAAGGTATCATCTACATCAAGCATGTCAAACTCAAAGATTAACACGGGACAAATAAATGAGACATGTGGCTCCCAGGCCACGAGTTTAACATGCCTGATCTACCAGGTGTACCGGTTAATAATGCAGATTTTGTAATCAAAGAAAACCCGATAATTTCAAGAGAAACATCAAAAGTGCTTTAGTCAATGTAATTTCCATCGCTAGCTACACATTTCCCCCATCTTTCAGGTAATATGTGGATACTATCTAAATAGAACTTTTCTTGTTTTGGGGCAAACCATTCAGAGACCCAATTTTCCACTTCTTCATATGTTTTGAAGTGCTGCTCGGAAAGTGCATGTGCCATCGATCGGAACAAGTGGTAATCTGAAGGAGCAAGGTCCAGTGAATACAGCGGGTGGGTTAATACTTCCCAGACAAGACCTTTTAATGTGTCTTTAACTGGTTTAGAAGTGTGTGATGGTGCGTTATCATGAAGCAAAATTACTTTGCCGTATCTTCTGGCCCATTCTGGTCGTTTTATGACCAAAGCATGGTGCAAATTAACTTGGACATTCTTTGTCTTTCACATTGAAATCATCACTTTTAAAGCGTTTAAACCAGCGTTCACAAGTATCTTGAGATGGAGCATGTTCACCATAAGCTTCCCGAAGTATACGATAACTTTCAGCAGCACTTTTCTTCAAAATAATGAATTAAAACTTCCCGCAAATGCTCTCTTTTCTGGCACAAAATTTGACATTTTTAAGTGTAAAAATATCTATGATGTTAACACTTTCAGAAAATTTACATATGAAGTTTTGAAGCTTGTTGTCAATACAACAAAATAGCATACATATCAAATCGCATATATATCAACATATGTGTAACTCCATCTATTGAAAGAAATCCGAATTATCAACCGGTGCACCTGGTATATTATTAGTTAAAGCATCATCAGCAAAGCCCTGGGTGTACCCAAGGGGATTGGCAAGGTCAAAACTACTTTCAAAATAATACTAAGTCCTTATTTGCATTTTTCACTTTGTTGACATTTGTGCTAATGGTGCCAAGGCAATGGTGGGAAAGACTGCTGGAGCCTCAGCATGAGTCATGGCAGGAACACAAAGCTGACCTAATGATCCTTATACCAGTAGTCATTATATCCTTCACCGGCAAGTACTTTTGGGGGGTGGGGGGCAGCCTGTTTCACGTTAGAATGTCCTTGGTGAAGCAGGAAAAATTATTAATCTCGACCACTGAGCCTACACCTTTTTGATATCCTGCATGATGAAAGAGGAATTACACATTAAGCTCTGCTGCATATAGGAGTATAATAGTTGCCTCAAGGAAAAGAATGTGCAGTTGAGTTGCAAGCTGAAGGAGTCACTTTTTCCAAGAAACATCTTTTTTATTTGAAAAAGCAAAGTGCAGTTACTGATCTTGGATATTGGGCAGACATTTTTCAAAAATGAACACAGTGAGACTGTCACTTCAAAGGGGAATGACTGACAGTATCTGTTATCAATGGTAAGGTTTGAGCTTTCGGGTGAAAATTAGAATTTTGTTATTGTACGTCAACACTTAGAATTGTGTGTCAACATCTAGAAAATATGCATAACTCAGGGAACCAATATTTTCCAAAAGATCAATGCCTGATGTTACAAAATCATCTATGGGTCAGAGACCCAGCCTAACTGCAAGAAAGATCAATAGATTTTAATGTAACAGAGCACAAAAAGTTCACTGACATGGTTCCAGGTTCCATACTGCAACTAATCTTTAAAAACTGACACTTTTTGCCAGGGCGGTATGGCTCAGTGGTTGAGCATTGACCCATGAACCAGAAGGTCATCGTGTGATTCCCAGTCAGGCACATACACAGGTTGTGGGCTTGATCTCCAGTAGGGGTAGTTCAGAAGGTGGTCAATCACTGTTTCTATTTCTCCTCTCCCTTCCTCTCCGAAATCAATAAAAACATTTTTTAATTAAAAAACATAATAAAATAAAAACTTCCACTTTTTGAATAGTAAAGAATATTCACAATTATCTGAAAATGCTAATATATGGATATTTTTGCACACACAAAAATATGGATATTTTTGTGTGTGCATAGTAAATTTCTGGAAATATATACATCAAACTGATAATGAAAGGTAGTTCTAGGAATTAAAACACATTTTCTTCAAGAATGTTATGATTTTGCTTTTATATTTAGCACTTCAATATATCTAAAAATTATTTTGCATATATGTGATGTGAGAGAGGTGGTCTAATTTATTTCTAAATGAACAGCGCATTGCTGCAAAACTTTTGCTGAATGATCTATTCTTTCCTCATAAATCTGAAATGCTGCTTTTATCCTACAAACTCCCATAGATACATGGTATGATACAAGAGTCCATTATATTCCACTAATTTTAATCTATTACAGTACCAGCATCAGATGTTGTAAATAAGTATTGCATTAGAGTATGTTTTGATGTCAGGAAGATCAAATCCTCCCATTATTCATTTTCAAGACATTTTTGGCTTTTTTTGCATAAATATTTTTCTAAACAAACTTCAGAATCAGTGTGTTAAATTTCAAAAATATATTGAATTTATACATTAATTTAGAAAAACTTGATTTCAATAACATTGATTCTCTCCATTGAGGAAGATGACATGTCTCTATTTTGGTCTTTAGTAATAAAATGTTTTTTGTTCAGAGTTAAGTTGACTCCAGGTATTCTAATGTTTATTATTATTATGGAAACGATAACTTTTTTCATTACATTTTAAGACTGATATAGCTAACATTTATGAAAGCTATTAATTTTTCATACTTAAACCTGACCACCTTACAAAAGTTGCGTATGGAATGTCATATAGTCATAATAGTCTGACTTGCTTAGGGTCCTGTCACGTGATAAAATAACGTAGCTGGAAAAGTGCAATGAAACACGCTCTCCTTAATTCACACTGCATTTGCTCCTGAATAAAGTCTGCTGTGAGCACCCTAGCCGACTTGGCTCAGTGGATAGAGCATCGGCCTGTGGATTGAAAGGTCCCAGGTTTGATTCTGGTCAAGGGCACATGCCCAGGTTGTAAACTCAATCCCTAGTGTAGGGTGTGCAGGAGGCAGCCTATTAGTGATTCTCTTTCATCATTGATGTTTCTATCTCTCTCTCCCTCTCCCTTCCTAACCACACATTCCCAGGGTTTTTGTTTGTTTTTAGAGCTTTTTCTCTTGAGAAACTTGTTCTAGGACTGTTGGTTCCCAGTTCAAATTGATAGTGGGCAAGGGCAAATAATTAGAATAGAACCATAGTTGTTTAATAATTATTCACCTTACTAAACTATAAATAAGTTTTCTTACAGACCCTGGGAAACTGGAGGATGAAACAAGGCTATAAAAAAAGATGCCTCTATCGGTCCATTACTCAGAAAAGAAACACATTTTAAAAACAGACCAAGGACAGGACACGCTTTGATTTGGTTGCTGTGCCTGGACCCTGACCCTCTCTGGGAGTTTTTCTCAGGAACGCTGACCATTCTCAGGTCCCAGGAACAGGCTGAGCTGTTTGTAACATCATAGAAGATTAGCCACCTTGTGATCGGACTTTGAGCTCCTGAAGGCCGGACTGCAGATTCTACCCTCCCCTTTCCACGTTACACTTGTAGCTTGCAGCTACACCTAGCTATCTTCTCCCTCGTGTGTACATAACCAGCCACCTGGTGAGGGGGGTCAGAGCAGATTTTTGTGGATGACCTGCCACACTCCCATCCAGCCAGCATTATTGGAGCTCATATCTGACCTGAAATCAATAAAAATATATGTTAAAAAAAAGACTGTTGGGAGCATTCAAAGTGATAGTGGGGAAGAGCATGTAATAAGAATAGAGTGACAGTTGTCTAATAATTATTCACTTCACTAACTATTGATAAATAGTTTTCTTACAGATCCTGGGAAACTGGAGGATGAAACAAGGCTGTAAAAAGATAAGATGCCTCAATGGGTCCATTACTCTGAAAAGAAATACATTTTGAGAACAGACCAAGGACAGGACACGCTTTGATTTGGTTGCTGTGCCTGGACCCTGACCCTCTCTGGGAGTTTTTCTCAGGAACGCTGACCATTCTCAGGTCCCAGGAACAGGCTGAGCTGTTTGTAACATCATAGAAGATTAGCCACCTTGTGATCGGACTTTGAGCTCCTGAAGGCCGGACTGCAGATTCTACCCTCCCCTTTCCACGTTACACTTGTAGCTTGCAGCTACACCTAGCTATCTTCTCCCTCGTGTGTACATAACCAGCCACCTGGTGAGGGGGGTCAGAGCAGATTTTTGTGGATGACCTGCCACACTCCCATCCAGCCAGCATTATTGGAGCTCATATCTGACTCAACCCTGTCTCTGTTTAATTGGCTCAAGTAGTGACAGGTAGCCCGGACCTTTTGGTTGTCCGGTTACAAAAGCACAACCAGGATATTCCCCCAGATCCAGAAAGTCCAGGGAAATGGTTTGGTGGCAGTGGGAGCTATCGTCTCTATCAGCCAACCACACTACGTAAAAAAAACACCAAAATGTTACTAAGTTCCAAAGTATGAAATAAAGTCATTCTAATCAGTGTTAGAAATATACCTTACCTCCTCAGGAACTCCAAGTCTTTTAGCTGGAATTTTCTGATAGGACCTTCCAAATAAGTCTTTTGCCAAATCACCATAGTTGTCAAAAGCAGTCTGGGAATAAATGATTCCCTGTGTTTAGATATAAAATAAGAACAAAATAAAGTACATAAGATTAAATTTTAATTGCAAAGACAGTCTATAAAACAATACCAAAAATTAAGTGCCTTATGTGGAATAGAAAAGGCAACATTGCTAATATTGAGAAAATTTAATAGTGGTTGACTACTACAAATGAATTATCTGAATGCTCATTTTGTGACCTCCCCTTCCTTAATAACCAGTTAAGCCCTGGATGTTTTTCATAAAAGACTTGGTTTCTGAAAGCATAATTATATGAGCAGATTAGTGGGCTCTTAATTGGGACAAACAATGAGACAGGGGAGTCTATTTTATCTTCCACTGGGCTTCTCTGTTTTACAGTACAAGACTGGGCTATGGTTATGCGAGACTTAGAAAACGCAATATTATCATGGTTTTTCACCTAAAGTAAAATCACAAATAAAGCATGTGAATCTAATATAAATGAACAAAAAAATGTAATTGTTTAAGAATTCTTCTATATAGCTTTCATGGATTTATAAAGCCAAGAAAAGTACTCAAAACCTGAATAATACAGGATAAAGCTATTTGTTACTGACTCAAAACTACAACAGAGATTATAGGGAGGAGAGGAAACAGGAGGTGTAAAAGATAAGGAAATTGCATGGTAGTGGGATGATATACTGGTTTCCCATTAAACAATTTGCAACCTTTTGTTTAAAGAGGATAACATCTTCTAGAAGTATTAAGTTTTAGACCTTAAACCTAAAAATGTCTCAGGAGGAAAAACATGACTTCAATAAGGCGCTTATAATACTAACAACCCACTAAAGGTTTTCAAGAAATGCACCTTTGGAGGCCAGTAATGCAAGGTAGCTGCATTAAGAATGGAACTAATATTTCATTTACTTTATAAATATTTGCATGTAATTTGAGTAAGGTAAGGTCAGCTAGGAAGGACTAAAGGGAAATAAAGTTTCCGGCGAGGAGCCTGCAATTTGTTAAATAGGAGATTTTCTACTAACGTCAACAAGTCAGTTCATGCTTAAGTCCCACTGAGCAGCATGGATAGCAATATGGATAGGTAGTATAAAGGCAGAGTTATAGATAATATCCACAGATATTCCAGAGTTTCAGATTGAGGAATGATTCCTATATTTTAGCAACGACCAGGAAACATCACAGAGAAGTGCATTTGAGCTGAGTTTTACAGGATGAGTGTGTCAGTACATTAAACGTGTCATACTCAAGGAAGCTTAAGCTATATCTTACTTCACACAAAAATGATAGTTTTTGAAGTTGAACATATTGTGATTTTTCCCCCCCATCACTTACATTAGTTTCAGAGAAATTTTCTCTTTACTTCTAGTTGATCTTTAACTGGGAGTTTCTTCCTAAAACTTTGACTTTAAGTTTCTCACTCTCTCTTAATAAAAGATTAATAATAAACCAAGAAATAACAAAACAATCCAGAAAAATTCATTCTTTAAAGTAGCAATTTTTCAACCTTCACAGTGTATTTGAGTTTCTTGGGAGGTTTTTTAAAAATACTGATGCTTGGATTCCACAGTTTGGAGCCAAGCTTATATATCACTATTTTTTAAACATTCCACAGATAATTCCACTATTTTTTAAACATTCTAATATACAGCCAGGATTGAGAATCATTGGCTTAATTTAACCTTAACAATCTAATCAAAGAATATACACATCCATTTCAAAAGCCAATCTTTTCTAATACACATACAGTGACAAATACCTCTATCAACAACATAAATGGAATCAGAAGAGCACAATTAGTTCATATAGAACATTTACCTACAGGGGCAACACAGTTGATCCTTATTCCACTGCTGGCCCATTCCAAAGCCAAGGTTTTGGTGAGATTGTAAACACCTTCTCTGGCGGCTGCACTATGCCTTTAAAAGACAAAATATAAACACTCTAATTAGCTTTTGTTGAATATTTCTCTCATTAACTGAAATGACAGGTGTGTCAATGGCCTGTCAAACCCCACAAGAACTTTCTTGTCATGAAACTGTGTTTGAGTCTGTCTGAACAATGAGAAAGAATTGGGTCCTCCCATATTAGAGCCAAACCACAGCTGTCTGATTGTCAAACAAATCTCATTGTGTAGGCCCACATACGATTCCCCCAATTCACACAGACTTAAGAGGAATATTGAAAACTTTTTTATTACGAAGAAATACAAATTGGTAATTTGAGAGTTACAAGTGTGGTTGTTACCAGTCTTTTTTGTGTGTGCACAGTAAATTTTTTAATGATTACGATTTCAGTGATTTTTTTTGTTTGTTTTACTTTGGCTATTTCTGAACCTTTGACACATAGGAAAAAAATATATATAAATGCTTACGCAAATCCCGGAAATCCATTTTTAGTAAGCATAGTGATATTGACAATGGATCCTCCATGCTCTCTCATCCAAGAGCTGTAAACTGAAGGAAACAGACAGATGACAGTCATATTAAACAGTGTGCTGACCCTTCTCTGGTTCCCTGTTCCAGCATGCTGTTTTTGTGGTATGTTTTAAATTCATACTTATATTTCTTTTTTTTTTTAAGCCTGGCTGAGGTACAATTTACACATCATAAAATTCATCTACTTTATGGGTACAATTTAACAATTTTTTTAAAATATACAGAGTTGCCCTGGCCAGTGTGGCTCAGTTGGTTGGAGTGTTGACTTGTGCACCAAAAGGTTGCTGGTTCCATAGTGGTCAGGGCACATGCCCGGGTTGTAGGCTCAATCCCTGGTAGGGAGTGTGCAGGAGGCAGCCCATCGAAGTTCCACTTTATTGTTGAATAGTATTCCATTGTGTGGATACGCCATATTTTATTTATCCATTCACCACTTGATGAACATTTGAATTGTTTCCACTTTGGGGGGTTTATGAACACGTCTTTATGTAGACACATGCTTTTGTTCCTCTCAGGTTAAGGGTAAAATCGCATTCATATAGTAACTCTATGCTTAGCTTTTTAGGGAACTGCCAAACTTTTTCAGTGTCTCCACTATTTCATATTCCTACCAGAAATGCATGAGGCCTCCAGTTCCTCCACACTATTATTGTCTGACTTGTTGATTACAGCCTTTCTAATGGAAATGAGGTGGTATCTCACTGAGGTTTTGATTTCCATGTCCTTAGTGACCAATGGTGCGGAAAGTAACTCTATGCTTAGCTTTTTAGGGAACTGCCGAACTTTTTCAGTGTCTCCACTATTTTATATTCCTACCAGAAATGCATGAGGACTCCAGTTCCTCCACACTATTATTGTCTGGCTTGTTGATTACAACCTTTCTAATGGAAATGAGGTGGTATCTCACTGAGGTTTTGATTTCCATGTCCTTAGTGACCAATGGTGCGGAAGCATCTTCTAATGTACTTATTAGCTTTTCATATATTTTTTGGTGAAATATCTACTCCAATCTTTTTTTTCCACTTTTTAATTGGGGTGCTTTCTTATTACTGAATTATGAAAGTTCTTCATATATTCTAGATACAAGTTTTTTATCAGATATGTGATTTGGAAAATTTTCTCCCAGTCTTTGGCTTATCTTTTCACATTCTTAATGGTGTCTTTTGAAGCACAAACATTTTTAATTTCAAGTCTAGTTTATCAATTTTATATTTTGTGGATATATGGGTATTTTGGTGGTGGTTCCTAGGATTCTTTCCTAACCTAAGGTCAGAAAGATTTTCTACTTTGTTTACTTCTAAAAGTTTCACAATTTTACTTTTTCCATGATCCACTTTGGACTATTAGTTAACTTTTATTTATAGTATGAGGTAAGGGTCTTTTTGTATGTGGAGAGCCAACTGTCCCAGTACCATTTGTTGAAAAGACTATCATTTCCCCATAGAACTGTTGGCACCTTTAACAAAAATCAATTGACCACAAATATAAAGTTTTATTTCTGGACTCTCAATACTACTTTTCCACTTATCTATACATCTACCCTTATGCCAGTACCATGGTGTTTTGAAATCAAGAAATGTAAGTCCTCCAAATTTCTTCTTTGGTAAAATTGTTTTGGTTATTCTGGGTCCTTTCCATTTCCATATATACCTTGTTTATTTTTTTCTTTGTTTCCCTTACCCAAGAAGATATATCAGAAAAAAAATATGGCTAAGAGAAATGTCAGAGATTTTACTGCCTATGTTTAATTCTACAAGTTTTATGGTTTTGAGCCATACATACAAGTCTTTAGTCCACTTAAGAGTTTATTCTTGTATATGGTGTAAAAAGGTGATCTAGTTTCATTTTTTTTTTTGCTTATATTTGTCCAATTTTCCCAACATAATTTATTGTATAGACTATCTTTACCCCATTGTATGTTCCTGCCTCCTTTGTCATATACTAACTGTCCATATAGGTATGGGTTATTTATGGGCTCCCTATTCTGTTCCATTGATCTATGTGTCTCTTTTTATACTAGTACCATGCTGTTTTGATTACTATAGACTTATAGTATAGTTTGATATCAGACAGTATATTACCTCCAACTTTGCTCTCTTTTTCTCAAGATCACTGTGCCTATTAGGGATCTTTTGTGGGCCCATATAAATTTTAGATTATAGTTCTGTGAAATATGCCATTGGTATTTTGATAGAAATTACATTAAATCTATAGATTGCTTGGGTAGTATGGACATTTTAATGATTGAAACATAACCTGTAATCCAAAGACAATGCTGTGCTAATTAGTTGTTAGCCAAAAGAATGTGGACTTTGTCTGGTATTCTCCCCAAGGACCTTACTGAATTAGCAGGTCCTTATAACAGATTTATTTCTTAAAAAAAAGTAAGTGTGAAAGTTTTCTTTAATTTTATAAACAATTTTTAGTTATCTCTTTGTACAGATCCTTAATAATTTTCTCATGGTAAATTCCTAAAAATAAAATTATAAGAAAGATCAAAAGATATCCATATTTTATACATACTGCCAAATTACTAGCCAGAAATGTAGCAATTTACAATCCTGTGAGCAAATCAGGGCAGTAAATGTTGATAACTGGAGCTTTCTGAGCCCCTGACAGTT